TTTTAATAGATTTCCTACATAAAAATAATAAACAGTTATTAGACACAGTGTTATTTACCATGGAAATTAATTAACTAGAAATACATAAATTCTACATGGACAAAATTTTTAAACACGACATAGTATATGTAATGAAAAGTGAAACTAACCTTGTACCATGTTTGCTTTCTTATGCCTTTTAATATTTATCCTGTGAACAGTTCCTTTCCATAACTAAGCAGTACAATAGGTTAAAATGATCGATGAATGGGAACAAATGCAGAATTAGCTCGGAAAATCAAATAGACATGATGAATCATTCAAGGCCTGAAGTTCTTATTCATCACAGCAGGTGGCAGTACTGTACATGATTTGATTTTACTACCTAGTAGGGGAAAGATGTGAAAGTAACATAAACACTCATTCTGACAGGAGCTGGAAACCGGGGCCCTCTGCTATAAGACTTCTGGTCATAAAGAGAACAAATTGTTCCTATTTGAAATATATTCAGATTTATTATTTTTTAGAAGTTTATGCTGACAGAGACTTTGGAGATCATTCAGATCAAGATTCTTACTTTAATCTCAAATATTTCAGCGCAAAGAAGAAAAACAAATAAGCTGATGATGTAGCAGACACTTTGTAGCACAGCCAGGCAGAACCCACTTCTCCCCACTGTTTTTGCCAAAGGAAGGGAGAACGGCTGATGTTAAAGATTAGCTATCAAACCTTGCTTTTCAACTTCCGTTTTCATTGGTCCAGCTCTGCACTCATGCAGTAAAAGGAAGGGCAAGCCATTAATTTAGAGTCACAAAAGGTATTTTGGTAGTTTACAGTCATACACAACTTTTGTGGCTTTTACATGACTTTCTCTGTGGTCTTCTATGAAACGTAGATCATTTTGTTTCTCCCTATAAGACAATGCAACATCACGTTTGCTTAGTTCTCATACTGGTAGTTTTTATGTTATCCAGTCTTGTGTAACTGGTTTTTCCTTTTATGCTAAGTACTTGCCTTATTGATTATTCTTCTGTGTATACTTCCCCTTTGTTTCTTTAGTTGTTGAGAAAATACTCTCCCCTCCTTCTGTTTAAGGGTGATTCTTCCTTTATCACACTAAGGATCAGCTGCACATTGGCAATGTTGGAACTCACTGCATATTTGCCTAGGGTGGGGTTCCCAGAGCAGCATTTCCTCTGTGCATGCTGTTTGCTGCATGATCATGGTGCTGCTGAGGTCTAGAAGGAGAGTCAGTGCCTACGTCACGAGCACCATTGCTGTCCACTTCCACCCAACCATGGGAACAGAAAGCAGACAGGTCTCTGCCTCCACCTACCTTTGCCAAAAGCTTTCTTCCTCCCTGGTCTCTCTTGTTCCAGTTGGGGAAGGCAGTTGAGGACAGGGGTGACAAGGGCTTTGGAGAGAGGGTGGCTAAGTGGGGCAACAAGAGATTATCTCCTGGCAATTATGGCCCTCATTTGGCTCCACACTTCTTGGAACTGCTTCAGTCCATTGCTGAATTCTGAACCCTCAAAGACTCTCTGCAATTGAGGAAGCATTTAACTGAGCTCATATGGAATAATGAGACATATTTATGCATCTGTCAACAAAATAGTGTAAGAGTTAAAACATATAAGTGGTAGCTAACCCTGTTATCACACATACTACATGTGCTAATAGGGAACAAGTAGAACAGGTCAAATTGATCACTACGTGGCAATAAGAAAGAATTAGCTAATCTTTATTTTTTGTTTGTTTTTCTTCCAGTGCCAGGAATCGAACTCACGACCTTGCACTTGCCAGGTAGGTGCTGTGCAGCTGAGCTAAATCCCTAGCCCCCAAATTAGCTAATCTTTAAAGTCAGTATTCTATAGATATATTGCATACCCATGTTTATTGTGCAAAAATTCATAACAGTCAAGATATATAGAACCAGCCTATGTATCCTTCAACAGTTGAATGGATAAAGAAAATATGGTATATATACACAATGGAGTATTATCCAGACATAAAAAAGGAACAAATTACGTCATTTTCAAGAAAATGGATGGAACTGGAGCCCATCATGTTGAGCAAAATAAGCCAAACCCTGAAAGACAAGTATTACATGCTTTCCCTATTCTGTGAAATCTGAAAAAAGAAGAAGGAGAAATAGGAGGAGAAGAAAGAGAAGGGGAAAGGGGAAGGGAGAGGGGAAAGGGAAGAAGTAGGAGGAGGAAAAGAAGGAGAAGGTGAAGAAAAAGAAAAAGAAAGAGGAAGAGGAGGAGGAGGAGAAGAGGAACAGAAGGATGAGAAGAAGAGGAGGAGGAGAAGGATGAGAAGAAGAGGAGGAGGAGAAGGAGGAGAAGAAGAGGAGGAGGAGAAGGAGGAGAAGAAGAGGAGGAGGAGGAGGAAGAAGAAAGTAGAAGGAAGGCTATCATTAGATAAGAGGAAAGAAGTCACTGGAAGAAGAAGTGGGTATAAGGCAGGGAAATGGGAAAAGGATATGATCAAAATGTTACATGAATAAATAAACAAAAATATCACACTGAAATCTAGTATTTTATAAAATTAATATGAACTGATAAAAATATTTTTCAAGAATTAGCTAATACCTAACGTGTAAACTGTAAGCTTGGGCCACATCAATAATGTTTTCAGAATGGCATGAACATCAGAACAATCTGGAGTTTTCATTAAAAATACAGATTCCATGACCTCCCCTTGGAGATTTTAATTCAGAAAGCCTGGAGTGGGGTCCTCATTTTGTGTGTTTTTCACAAAAGAGTCTCAGTGATTCCTAGTACCTGAAAGTATCTGAAGACTTCAACATTTTCTACAAATCCTAAATTTTTATTAAAAAAATCACTTCTGCTATTGTCCATTGTTGTCTGTGCTGTTCTTGTTGGATCTTGCCCTTCCTCATTCCAGTTTGTACCTCATAATCACCTTTGCAGAATTAGACATATACATGGCACATCCCAACTCCAGTGCAAAATCACTGATTGACAATAATATCTGCTCTTTGATACTCTGCTGGCTGGAGATCACTCTTTGTCCCTCAGGTCTACTCTCTACCCCTCTCTACTTGCTGTTTGCTGTAAAAGATGAACTTTAATGGCTGCATGAGTGAGATCGGTGACTTCCGGCTGGATATAGCCAATGAGAGGCATCAGCAGGAAAGTAGAGAAAACCAACAACCAACAACCAAATATTCTTTTGCTTCACAGGAACCCCTTTCAATGACCCACAAAATCACTGTGTCCCTTTACTGTGTCCCACAGTGTTGGCAGTAGACACGTTCTTTGATGTGATCTTTCGGGGTTCTTTGGCACTGAGGGTTACAGCATTGGCACTTATAGATCCCCTAAACACTTCCTAAGACTTTCTAACAGTCCCTTTGTTAAACTTTCTTCAATTATCCTGTTTGAATTTGGTACCTCTTTGTGACTGGACCAATACCTTCTTTCATCTCATTCACGTGGGCTTTTCATACATTGAGGAATTTCTTATTTCTTATAGAAATAGCAGAAGTGGTAAAATTAGAAGTTGGGACTAGAAATAAGAAAATGTTAGAGTCTGAATGGGATTTGAACTGTATCTACACCAGCTTACCACTAAATGCTGGAACCCTACATGAACTAGGTCTGTTTTATCCTGCTTCATTGTTAAACTTTGCAAATATTTGCGGGCAGTTGTCATTTTGTCCTCTAGGTTAAGTATCACAGTTCTATCAATTGTTCCTCACGCAGCTCTGTTTCTCAATTCTGCTCCACCTCGACCATTGGATGTGTTCCACTTGAGGCATTCTGTTTTGTCAATATCGTTGCTTTTAGTTTAGAACAACTTTGCAAAGTAATCCAAACGCGGGCCAGAGTCTCACCCAATGGAGGAGAACCTAGACTCTTTAACTAGAAAGCACGCTGGGGTGAACAAGCAGAGACGGAAGGCTGGCTGGCCAAAGCAGCACCTGACTCTCAGGGTAGGGCCAGCTGTGGCAGGAGGGGACACAGGTGCCCAGCTAACAGCAAGGCTTCCTCCTGAAGGGGAAGTGCGCATGACCACAGTGCCTCCTTGCATGTCACAGTTCCACTTTTGAATTTATGTCCTGCTCTTTTTTTTTGTAGTTCTAATTTTCTGGCCGGAAAGCAACTTGGTCATTTGTGCAAAATAACACAGAACCTGCAGCAGGAGAGATTCTGTTGCCATAATTCTCACTCTTAGAGGCCCTCAAAATCATAGATTGTGATTCCTATGAACCTCACATTATCAAGTCTTCAGGCCAATTGGAAGGTCCAAAAGGCAAGATCTTTGCTCAAAATCACAGAGCGATTTACTGCTAGAGCCGGGACTAGAACCTGATTCTTTCCTATCTCACTTATTCTCTTCTCAGTTAATTTACTCCATTCTTTTACCACAGATTACAAAACTGAAGTGAAGAAATGCATACTGTTAGTACCACAGCATCCAAGTCAGCTAGAGGCAACATTTGAATTACACAATTGCCTTCAGAGTATTGGGGAAAGATAGCTATGTGTACATTAAATTTGACACAACTGCAGGGGTGAGGCAAATCATCATTTTATTTACAAGGTACAGCTACCTACTCATTGCATCTAATTTTCAACCTGATAGTATAAGCATCTTTCCACTTGAAAGTGATTTATTATAGGTATATGCAGAGCCAATCAATGACTGTACAAATACTTGGTCACTCTCACCCTCAGCCACTGGGCAGAATAATTCCATTGAAGTATGCTGTGAAAGGGAACTTTCCTGAACCAGATCACCAAAAAGGAAGTTCATATTATCAAGGGTTCTGAACTTAAATGTCCAGTCTTCTACCAACCTAGAACTATACAATTTAGAGCAACATGGGACCCTTATCACAGCCTAGTTCAGTGCAATATGGATCCTAAAAGTATGTGACTTACCAATTTTCAAAGCAGAATTATGTCTTGAACCATAATCCTGTGCTCTTATGCAGGCACTGGACCTATTTCCTGTGTGGCTGTGCCTTCTTCATTTGATTGGGTCTCAGAACAAGGTGTCAGAAATTCAACACATTTAGTACAACATCATGAGATTCAAAGTAAGTTTCTCCTTTATTAATTAAAAATGGGAGGACTGTGACATAAGCATTATCTCAGAAGTCTACTGCCAATTATAATGAAAGCCTCACAAAATAAATTGAGGAAACTTAAACAAAATATGGAGAAATATTGATGACTTCTGACCAGCTGATAGGAAAAGGTGGTAAAACTTGAAATGCCCCAACAAATACTGATTTTCATTTACTATTCTGTGCTGAGCCATACTGCAAGCGTGATTCTGATACTTAGAACTCAATAGTAACTGATCAGAAATGGCAACATAAGCTCCCCCAAAACTACTTGTGAATACTAAACTTCCAGATTCTGCAGATCACTAGGGCAAAGTAGCAGGGTTTAGAGCAGATGCTAATGAATAGGAGTGGCAGCGCCTCTGGTGCCTTAGATGATCCCAAACTGAGCGAGCTCGTGCAATTCCAGATGGCTGAACGCTTCCCAGGGACAGATCACCGTGATATCTGCAAGAAACAGGAGAACATATAAGCCAACAGGACCCCAAATACAGCCTCTTCTGCTCAAAAGACACTGTTCAGGCAGAGACATCTCACAGCACTCTCTCACACCTGGGAAGTTGTCTAGTAGGCTTTGTAGCCCAGAAAGAATGAGACCAGGGGTGTAATTATCACTCAACCCCAGGTATTACTATTGGTTTCATTCTGTAGCCTTTTGTAGAGGTGACCATGGTTTGACTGGGAATACAGTGGGGGGACCCCTCACTGAGTCTCCTTCACATCAACCATCAAAGAAAGAGCAGAAGTGGAATTCTGATCCAGCCAAGGACTAAAACAAGAAGCGGTAGTTCTTTAAATTCCTGTGGTCTGGGATGCTACGGCCTTGTGACTCCCGACCAGTCCGACCAGTCTGCATGGGTTGCTTGAGCTGATCTCACTTTCTCTCTACTTCCTTTGCATTTTGAAAGCCTGTATCAAGTCACATATTGAGAAGCAATCTCAACACATCGACTAATCCAACTTTTGCTCTAGATAAGATGTTATTATCTCCCGTTTACAGAGAAGCAGCTGATAGCCAGAGGGATTAAATAACTAGCAGGAAACACAATTATGTAGATGAAGCTAGAAATAGGTCAAAGCTGCAGACCTTCTCTCAGTATAAATCTCTTTACATTATTTCAAATGTGCGAAGAGAATTAAATCTATCTTCCAGAAACTAGAATAAATTTGCTGTAGACTTCTAGCCAAAATACAGAAGCAGTTGATCTAGGAAAATAGCTTTTTATGAAGAGGCCGGAAAATCTATTTGGGTTCCTGGAAGGGGAAATTGAGTAGAAAATGCAAATACATTCAATATTTTCTGGTAAGGACACTGATCACTTGGAGTGTAACCATTTAGCAAGTGTGTTGGGTGGGTTCCAAATTTGTGTCTATACAAAAACCTACACTTGAATGTATACAGAGCTTTATTCATTATTTCCAAAGTTTAGAACAAAACAAGATGCCCTTCAATTGGATAAACCATGGTAACTTTGCACAGTGGAATATTGTACAGTAGTTATTTATTGCCATATAAAAATATAGAGGAATCTTTAGAAGAAGCCAGTGTGGAAAGGCTCTGTACTCCATGGTTCTAACTGTATGACAGTGTGGAAAAGCCAAAACTAAGACATGGTAAAGGATTTATGGTGGCCAGGATTTGAGGATGGGGGAGATATGAACAGATATAGCACAGGGAATGTCTCAGGCAGTGAAACTGTTCTGTATGGTACAATAATGGTGGGTACATGACAGTGTACATTTTCAAAACCCTAAGAAATATACCACACAAAGAATAAACCCAAGTGATACAAGTTTGGATTTCAGTGAATGTAATAATAATAATGTATCATTACTGGCTCATCGAATAGAGTAAGCATGCAAGACTAATTCAGAAGTCACTAAAAGGGGAAGTATGTACAGGAGGAAGGAGAGGTAGAGGATGTATAAGAATGTTCTGGACTTGCCACTTAATTTTTCCATAAATCTAAAACTTCTCTAGGAAAGTCTATTAAATTTTTTTCATTGCAGTGATTGCAGTTATTATCTAGTGAATTAACTATTCTAGCCGATCAAAATGTACCGAATGCACTCAGTCTGCGGGCCTCTGCTGTGGGTGATTGCGGATGTGTAAGAAGAGGAAGTTGGTAAAGAGTGGTTTGCCTGGTAGAGAAGAAAGGTTCTCCATGCCCCACCCTTATTTCCAATACCTCACTCTGTGGCCTCAGATTGTCGCTTAATTCTTTTCTATTTCTTATCTCTCTTCTGAAAAATAAAGTTGGGCTAGACAAACTCTGAGTCTTTTTTCCATAAAAACCTACAATTTACCATTATATGCCCTTAAGTTTGTTTAGCAAATCAAGAAGATTCACTCAGCTTTGGGCCTACCCTGAATTCTCTTAGGCTTTTGTATCTACTCACATATGCACTTATTTGGAAGATTTATATCCTCACATTTCTGTGGCTTCAAAGGACCTGCTGCCTTATGATAGCTATTTATGAGACTCTTCTACTGCTCCCTCCTACCTTCCTACTGTTCCTACTGCTCCTGAGATGTATACAAAGGTGAAACTCCAAGTGCAAAATTCTCACTTCAGTATGTGTGGCTCACCTGTCCCTAGCCCCTCCATGCCTGGAATGTCATCTCCAAACCTGTGGGAAAAAATAAATAACAGAAAGGTTAGTTGAGATCAGAGTAAAAGGATCCTGGAGTTACTCACACGGAGGGTTTCTTGACCTAAGGGGCTAGAAGAAGAAGCTTAAGTGTTTGTATTTGAGAAACTCCTTTATTGGCATTGTACTGAAGCCAAGAAAATGTCATCCCAGCAGGATGTAGCATGCCCCAGAGGGGAAGAGATTTCTCCCTTTCAGAAACTTCAAATAAGACAAGTGAAAGCCAGAAAGAATGATTAGGGTGACACTTTAATCAAGCTTCACTTTTTAAAATAGTAACTGAGTCATTTAAAAGGCATTAAAATGATTCATTTATCTGTTTGTTCACTACTTCACAAGCACTAATTAATCATCTGCTATGTAGTAGGCATCTTGATAGGCACAGAAAGTTAAAGAAAAAGACTAAGAAATCTCCTCTGAAGGGTTTTAGTCTCAGGGAACACGTGTAAATAAATGTAATATAAAATAATACAAGTTGTAAAAGTTAAATACTACCATAATACAAACATGAAAGTCATGATAAAGTTTGTTTGAATCAGTAAAGATTTCAAAAAGCAATTAACATACGAGCTGTGTGTGTTGAATAAATAAGATTTTGCCAAGAACGAGAAGAGAAAAATGGACAACTGGGGACATAAGATTGATAGTCACAAAAATGAACTGCGTTTTCTGGTAATGGCTGGGGATTCGATATTCCAGACCAAAGCGCAGTGTGTCATTGCAAAGGACTGACCACCAAACGGCCAGAAGTCAAGTCAAAGCTTATCATGAAAGGCACCATTTTCCATGCTAAATTTGCCCTTTACCTGGGTGCTGACAGAGAATGAATTCCAAAGCTAAAGACATAATTCTGCAAATATTGAGTTGTAGAGGAAAACAGAGGATGGGATGGAAGTTTTTGTAAGTCTTTAGTATATTAAAAGCATTAGTTTCTCAAAACCAAAGGAGTCTTATAGGAAAAGAGACTAAGGGAAAGATTTCTCTCTCCTTTTGGTCTTACCCTTTCACACCTTTCTTCGGAGGCTTGCTCTTGAATTGGCGAGTCTGCCTCTGCTTGAACTTGGGCGGCCCTTTGCGGGGTGTGGTGGGACCCTGGCTTGGTGCTGGAGGAGCCAAAGTACTGTTGTCACTCATTTTGACAGCTCCTGGGTGACTGATGTTTCTCCCTCAGGTTCCTTGAACAATGACAGAAAAAAGGAAGACTTTCAAATCACTCTAAGCTGGGCAAAGACAGTGCTTCGATAAAGAAGCCCAATATTTGTTATTGGCTCAAAAAAGGAAAGATCATTATACATAAAGAGATTTGAGGAAAACATAGTATGAATCAAGGGTGACTTTCCATATATATAGAACCCTGACTACTGAGAGATTTAAATACTTGAAAATTTAGGTCTATATTTTTCTAATAAATCTTCCACTAGCAGTATATGTAAATTCATTGTAACGTTATACATCTCCACAACCACCAGTCCCACTATTTGCAAAGGGAGCGAAATGGACTAACTGATGTATATCTACAGTTTGTCAGCTCTCACTGGTTCTTGAAACTTTACATATTCTTCCATATATATTCAGACATAACATCCTTCCAGCCTGTATTTCAACATTTTCTCCTATCTAAATCATGGACTATCTAGTATTTCTTCCCAGACATGTACATCGCCCTTTAAATATGAATAACAGAAAAGTATTCACAAAGATACATTTTTAAAAATTAAATACACTAAAATTTAGGATTAGATTTTTTTCCTTTATCCTTTTCTTTTACAACAACTAACAAAACTTACCCTGGGAAGGAAGATTCTGAAAAGCTCCAAAGAATTTCCAAATAGCCTTAACTTCTTGCCCTGAGCCAACCCTTCCATAATCTAATGCTGCAAGCTCTGTTTGCATGGGATCCCTTATCTCACCTGTTATGGATTTGTGCTGATATTCCTAGCTTCAATGCTCTCTGACAGTCTTTGCCTCAGGCCAATCACTGTTCTTTTTTCCCACTTCACTGCACATCCCTCTCATCTTTTTTTTTTTATTTTAAAACTAAAAGGAGGAAAACATTAACAGACAAACAACCTTTTACAAAATAGCAAAAGAACAGTACAGACAATATAGAGTTACAAACAAAGTGGTAGGAAATTAACAATGCTTGTTGTATTACGTATTGATATCTTCAAAGTGGTTTCTCATGAAAACAGATAGACATGCAATATTGATCAATCAAGGACTCATTGACAGTTTCTTTCAGCAAAGAAATAGAAGACAGTAGAACAACTATGTTAACTATCCTGTATATACATACATACAAAATTTCTCCTTCTTTCCCTTCTCTTTTCCCATATCCCTATCACCCTTTACCCTTGAGCATTTTCCTATCATTTCACAATGTCTATCATACCTCCTAGTTTAAATTAACTCTTTCAGGTCATCCCTCTCATCTTATATTGTGTAACTTCAAGTTCATAACTTTTTCTTAGGACTTTCAAAACCAGGTTTAACTTATCATCTTTGCTTCCAATATATTTTTGTCCTTTTTTTTTTTATTTGTGGCCTCAATTTCTACTGTCAGTTTTTCCTGCCAGTCCATAACATGTTCAAAAGACTAATCTATAAGCTGGCACAAGGAATAGTGAGCTTGCCCAGGTCCCTGAATCACTTTCTCATGCTATGAATCTTGTCTCTATCCCCACTGCAATATGTTTCCTGGGATGTTTTTCCACTTGGGCCTACTTCCATAGACTTGGCACCTATAACAGTGCTTGGCATGTGGGGAGTATGCCATGTGTATTATATTGGTAGAGTGAGTAAATAAATTAATGAAGAACTCAGCAAATATCTTGGACCTTGAGTGATGAGATCTTGACTTTGTGCCTTCTCTCAGACCATAGAGAAGACACTATCTGGTCTTTGCCTCACAAAGTCCTCTGTGGCTTTAGGAAATGAATTACCAGCTCTGATTACTGCTTCTAATACTTGTGCTGTGTGTTCTCTACATCCCTGTCAACAGCCAAGATTTATGCCTCTTCCAAATGTGGTTGGAACATGGGATTTAGGGATGGGCACTCAGATCCCCGTTACACTCAGAGCGCACCACCACCAACAGATACGTCCTAACTGTGCCAACATCCCAGGGAAAAATTGGAAAGTTTCTCCCAGGGCAAGGTGAGCTCTCCAATTCCTCCAAAGCAGCAGGGATGCACTAATTCATTTCTTTCAACTAGAGAGCCTATTAAGACTAAGATCCCCAAATTTAGCAAATAAAAATATAAGATACCCAATTAAATTTGACTTTCAGATAATAAATTATTTTTAGTGAAAATATATTCTACATATCTCAGGGTACACACTTAACACTTAAAACCTTCTGTTATTTATCAAAAATTCAAATTTAACTGGCTGTCCTCTATTTAATCTGGCAACCCTAACTAGGATCCTATTATGTTAGAGCCAGAGCTCAATAATATGAAGGCTTAAGGTGACCCTAATAAGTCAAATTATCCATGGAGATAAAGCACTATAGGGCATGCTCTGTAAAATCAAACAAATATAGTTTGAAGATCCTGCTCAAAAAAAAAACCTGGCTACAGGTCCTTGATAAGTTACATAATCCTCTCTGGGTCTCATTCCATATATAAAATGAATCAAATAATATCTTCCTTTTAAGGTCATAGGGAAAATTAAAGGAGATAATATAAGTAGAATGTCTGGTGCAAACTGCTCAGGAAAAAGTAATGTCTTTTCAAAAAAGACATTTTGAAAGTCAAGAAAGCCTTGTGAACTAATCTGTATCCACTTCCCCTTGGATCAACTGGGGAAAAGCCCTTGCCATGTATCCAAGATAAAATTGTCATCAGCACTTAATGGGTCACCCTTTGACTCTCTCAAATACCCCAACCATTAACTTATTTTTGGTCTCAGAATTCTGTTTTAAGAAGCCGTCCAATTTTTTGACACCCCTAGTAGTACTTCTAAGAAATTCAAAATCACATTTGACTTTCATATTGCACTGATTACACTTCCCCTTTTTTCATATATTTCCTCTGCATGAATATATAATTTTGACATTACGCTTCTAGAGTTCATGTCTAAGTGTGATACATAATATAAAATTATATAAAATACTCCTCAGAAAGAGTTACATAGCAGTTGTCTGGTTGATCACTGGATCCTCTTGACCCGTGGGATTTGCACTATGGATAATATTTATTATTCTGTGTTACATGTGCAACTTTTCATTTTTAGTAGTGTTAAATACAAATAATTTTCATAGGGTTTCTATCACAGATATATCTTTCTATTCTCTTTGCAAAGCCTTTAGGAAAAGCAACACAAGTATGACCTTTTCCTTCCATGGAAGATAGCTTAGGCAGAGCTATCACCAAGGCTAAATTCATCATAACCATACTTTTCCTAAAAATTCTCAGGACATGTTGGAGCCAAATAATCCATCTAGTTTCACCATTAACTGTAGCTATAAGAGCGGGGCTTGTATTTTTCCCTGCAATTAATTAATTTCTTTGTGAGGCAGAATATTTTCCTCTTGTTGATGCAATGTTAGCCCTTCCCCGTTTGAAGGTTACAAACTGCTCCTCTGCAGAAGGAAGCAGATGTAGCAAAGTAGTTAGTGCAGACGGAGGTTGGTAGGGAACTGGAGGGAGAGTCACTTCAGACACAAGGCAGCTCAGCTCAGCTGCACAAAGCCACAGAGGATCAACTTCCACAAACTCCAATGAGGAGAACAATTGCAGAAAGGCCTTGAGATGGGCTTTCTAATGCTCTCTTATCACACAGTTTTTCAGTTCCCTTATTTTCTGCAAAGATGTAGGCAGATAGATAATTGCATGGTTGGTGGGCTAAGAAAGGAGGTGGAGGGGAGAAGGACGAGCAGTACTGTGTGCTCTACTGATGGGATGGGGCAGTGTCAGAGACCTGCTGAGGCAGAGAAACAAGTCATTTGCGGCATCAAGAAAGACTCAAATCAAAGCCATCTTTAAAAATACAGCAATTACCTTGCTGCAGAATGGAACAAACAACAAACAGTTTAACCTCAAAGGGAGAAGCCTGAGCCACCCAACTTGCTTGTGGTCATTCCCATGCTCACTTTATGGTCACTTCCATCTCATTCTCACACTCTCACCAGCCCCTGAGTGCCTCGGCCAAGTTTGCAAGCACATCCTTGGAGCAAAGAATAGTGTTCTCTGTGGTCATTTAGTCCCCCAGATCTCCCCCTTCCCAGAAAGCTGTTTGCTATGAAGCCACAAAGGGGAGGGTCTGTTTGGAGTCCCTTCCAAATGAATTTAGTAATCAAGGTTTGCAGTGACCTTGTATAACCAAGTTCCCCCTCATTAGCTTGTCACAAGGCATTATAAGGTGGTTTGGGCAGATTTTTAACCCCAGTCCCAGGCCAGGCTCACAGGTCCAGAACATTCTCTTTTCCACTTGTTTTAGAGCCAGATCAACCCTCCCACATTCTTGAGTGCACCTCAAACTCAACAGAAGTTGAGAAATACTCACAGAGCAGAACTCTGTCCCTGTAAGATGTTCAGTTGCCTTCCTCACAACAGATGAGTGGCTCTTTGAATCCCGAAGCATCTCTCTGTAATATCTTCATGCGCCCTAATCCCACCGTCAGAAGCTCAGATCACCAACCCAGGTGCAAAGAGGTTATAAGAAGAGGGGGTGAGCCTGAAGCAGGCTAAGCTGCATTCTGATAATTAGATGCTCTTATAAAGCCAACACGTGTCCTGTCCTGCCAATAGACCATGAATTCATAAATGCACCCAAAGTGTCAAGAAACCAATGGAGATTTTCAGTATTTGGCTCAATATCTTTTGTCCTTTTCCACACCCACATTTAGTCTTGGTTACTCTCCTTCCTCTTCTTTTTCCAACATTCACACACCCATGTGTACAAACACACACACACACACTCACACACACACACACACACACCACCCTTGTGGGAATCTACATAACTGTACAGAAGAGGGTGAAATTAGTATCCCCTACTGCAGTGGGGATGCTAATAACATGACAGGTAACACTGAAAAACGTACAATATCTCTCCTCAACTTGTATTTTGTATACTTCTTCAGAGAGATAGATAGAACCTTAAATTCAGGAGTGATATCAAGTTCAATGAATATTTCACAGAGAAATTTCCAAAGGCTAGCTAGAGATTT